ATAGTTCCTTGTTTCTTGAATGAATTTTCTTGCTGGTATTTTAAACATATGAAACACTTTTTTTAAACGTGTTTTATTTCTTTAAACATGTGAAACACTTATTTATACCCTGTATCTTCTAGGTCTGTTTCTGCTGGCCTCATTCCTGGTGTCTTCTTCCTTGTGTGTGGCATGTTATTTTCAGTTGGAATCTGATTTGTGGGAATTTTTTATGGCCTGGAACAAGGGTGGATCTCCCCTGAAATGACCAGCATTTGCTATTGCCTAGTTCTTGGGGGGCTCCACCAGTTCAGAATCACTCTAAATTAAAATCCTCAGACTGCCCAAGGGTTTTAATTGGGACCAAACCATATGAGGGCTGCCTCGTGGTGGCAAATTATCAGTAACAATCCTCCTGCTACCACTCAGCGCAAGGGTCATGTCCTCAGTCTTCCTCACAGCCCCTGGCCAGGGGAGGGGAGTAGGGACTGAGGAGTTGGGAGCGTGCAAGGGGGGTATTTTCTGGTTCACTTTCACACTGAGGGTGTACCTCTTCGGAGTTCCAGCTTTATGGGGGGGGTGTTACCCCTCACACTCCCACCCTAGGTGGGTCCTGGGTTTTGTTACCTGTTTTCTAAACTCCTTGAGGCTACGACACCAAATTTCAAGCTCACCGAGGTTGACAAAGTCCTTGGGGTCAAAGCCAACTTCTTCAGTTCTCAACCTGCTGTGAGGGCTCCTCCTTCACTTCATCTTTTGGCTTGAGAATTCTTTATCTTCTTGTCGTTTATTGATGTCTTACAAGCATGTTTTAGTATTTTATTCAGCAGTTTTAGCTGTTTTCAGTGGAAGTGTCAATCCAGGTACTTAGCCTCATATATTACAAGAAATGGAAGACTAAAGTCTTTTATTTAACTAATGTGTATTTAAATGTGAGGCAAAAATTAAAATACTCTCTCACGTATAAGGCCTCAAAAAGTTTCCCATCTAAAAATTCTCTTTTGAAATTATCTTGGAAGAAGAAAAATATATCCAAGAGGCTACTATGAGAGATTTGGAAAGTAAGTAAGAATAAATTAAAAAGAATTTAGTCAAATTTACTTTTGTAAATTTTGGGGCAGACAACAGCTAACGCTCTAATTGATACCAATGGAAAATACAGAAAAATGCAGATGTTGATAAGTTTAAGAAATTGATGGGTGAAATGAAAATAGTAGGGTCTTAATAATTTAGAGGTAACCACCAGAAGAATGAAAATAGTGAGTATAATTTAAAAACAGGCAGAAGGAAATGGAAAATGGGATCTATCCAATAAAAGACAGGAGAAAATAAAAAACTTTTAATAAGCACGCTAAATAGAAGATACAAAATAAGATGCCAGAGGAAAGCACTAATGTAAGAGCACTTACAGTAAATGACATGTATGAAACCATCAAACAAAAACAGAGACTTTCCAACTGGGGTAAATAAAAAGCAAGAGAGAGTACTTTATTTTCTACAGAGGACGCCATGTAAACAAAAGAATGCAGAAAGGCTGAAAATAAAAGGAAGCAGATAAGCAGTTAAATATGAACCAAACGGGACTGAGGGAGTGATCTTAATGTCGAGGCACTGCGGGGGAAGTTGCGTAGTACAGGCAAGACAGAGGGAGGAGGCAGAAACCTAAGTACACAGGCACCTGGAAAGCCAGGGCAGCCAAGGCAGAAACAGGAAGTCAGAACTGCAGTGGAGAAACTCCCTCAGAAGAACTGACATCACAGTGATTTTAGTCTCTGAACAAAATGTACAAATATTAAAAATCACTAACTAAAAGACAACTGAAAAAGAAAATATCGCACAAATCTGGAAACTTAAAAAAAAGTCCATTTAAGTTAAAGAAAAAATAAAAACACGCGTTGAATCATGAAGCAGTATAAGGAAATGACCAAGGAAAAACCGTATGTCAGGATTTGTGCGACTTGGCTAAAGAAAAGCAGAGCAGAGGAAGATGTATGTCTGAGAAATGGATGCCGTGATCAGAAAACAAGATGGATTTCGGACCTGAGAAGGCATCATAAAGTTGGCATTTCTCCCCTATTCTTGCTGTAAAGCAACGCCCCGCCCCCCTGCCCAAGAGAAAATTTTCGTTAAAACTAAACTGGCGGTGCTGCCAAAGGCAGTGGAAATTTCATCAGGGTATGTGGTGGGACAGACGCAGTGGTAATCTCAGAAAGAGCAGGAAAAGCGTTCAAAGGCTAGGGGCACACCCTGAGGTGCAACACCCAATTCCTGGTTTGCAACAGCAGAAGAAGGCTGGAGGCCAAGGCTCCTCTGGCCCGGTTTGGTTCCTAGAAGGGAGGAGAGGAGTGAGAAGGAACCTCACAGGCCCGGGCGGGGCGGGGACATACTGCAGAGGGCAGTGTGGCTGTGGTGGAAGGGGAGGAGAGGAACGGTGCTTTGTGAAAAATGTGACAGGTACTGACTCTTACTGGCAGAGATAAGTAAAGGCTAAACTTATTTAAAACCACCACCACCACCAAAACTCTCCTAGACTGGAAAATGGCCCTGGTCTCATTTCCCTTACAAATGTCCTACAAATACCTGGGCAAGGAAAAATCGACCTCTTTTATAGATGAGAGGGAACAAAGAAACAAACATGCTGTAAGGAAAAAGGAGGAGGGAAACAAGCAAACTAAATGACAATGAACACTCACCAAAAACATTTCCGGTAGAGCAGACGAAAAGTAGGACGAAACACTGTTGAATTAAAAACGGCTGAAGCAACAGACTCTTGGAATCCAGTGCACAGAGCAGACACAAGAGCCCACGGAGGAGGTGTCAGGAACACACTGAGAGGTAGTCTGAGTTGGCTGACCCAGGAAGAGGGAGACAAGGAAACAAAGACCTGACAGAGGTGAAGGCAAGTTGGAGCTCAGAACACACATATCATTATAGCCTCCTCTCTTCCCAAGTCAGAATACAGGGTAAAGAACCCTAAGAAAACTAACAATAGAGTTTGCGGGGAGAGGGGAGGGGAACTAGAAAAGCTGAGTCTAAAGACTGTACGGAAAAAATAAATACATGAGAATAACCAGGAAAATTCTGAGAAAGAACTATAAAGAGGAGATCCTAGGTCAGCCAGACATTACAAGGACCATGAAGCAATAATAACTCAAGTGATACAGTACTGCACGTGAACAGACCAAGAGAACAACGGGATCGAAGAAACGATCCAGATACAGATGCAAATACATATGGAAATTTTAGCATTATAGTGAAAGTGGGATGTCAAAGTGGGGAAATATGGGTTATTCAATAATGGGTGCTGGGACATTGGAATAGCCATCTGGGGTAAAAAAAAAAAAAAGTTTGCTTCCTATTTCATAACATATGCTGTGATAAATTCCAAATGGATCATAGATTTAAATATAAAAAAATGAAACCATAATGTATTAGAAGAAATCATGGAAGAAGAATCTCTCACTTTGGAGTGGAAAAGGCCTAAGTATGGCACAAAAACCAGAAAGGATCATAAACGAAGAAATTAATTTCACTACCAAAAATAAAAAATATGTGCATGACAAAAACCACCATAAGCAAAGTCAAAAAACAAGTGAAGGGGCCAGCCCAGTGGCACAGCGGTTAAGATCGCATGCTCCCCCTTCAGCAGCCCAGGGTTTGCTGCTTCGGATACTGGGAGCTGACCTACTTGCCGCTCATCAAGCCATGCTGAGGCGGCGTCCCACACAGAAGAGCTACAACTCTACAACTATGATACACAACTATGTACTGGGGCTTTGGGGAGAAAAAAGAAACAGAGGAACATTGGCAATAGATGTTAGTGCAGGGCCAATCTTCCTAAAAAAAAAAAAATGTGAAAAACTGTGGGAAAATATTTGCAACTCATGTCTCAGAAAAGGCCTAATTTCCATCATATATAATGAGATCCTACAAATCAATAAGAAAAAGGTAATAAACCCAACATACCAATGGGCAGAGAAGTGAAGAAAAGGAAAAGGAAATGACTCTTACACATATGAAAAGATGCACGACCTCCTAACAGGAGAAATACTAATTAAACTGACACCTATCAGATTGGCACAGGTTAAAGTTTGATAAGACTATACTGGAGAGCTTTTGGAGAAGGATGCACTCTCAGATATTGCTGGTTTGAGGATGAACTGGTGCAGTCTTGGCAGAGCTCAATTTGACAACATCTTCCCCCATGGGAATTTACATGTCTACCTTTATATAGCATGTGTATAACATACTGTAGCATGTGTCCATGGTTTTTTGCTATGACATTATTCATAATGGCAAAAGATTGGAAATAACCTAAAATGTCCATCGATAGAAGAATAGTTAAATACATTTTGGCACATCGACGTAACAGAACGTGGTTACGTATTGCACAGTTGTGAGGTGACAAAGAGGGGGCTCTCTATGTGCTGATCCAGAAGGGACTCCAGGTTTGCTCCTCTCCCACCGTCTTCAAACAGCCTCCCCTCCCTCTGCCCTTCTTGCTACCTCTTGGTCGCATGCAGTTCCCCCAAAGGTGGGCCCTTCAAATGGATTTTCCTGAAAACTTCACAATGACCATTAGGGTGTGCCGAGTTTCCCAGGCAGGACAAGGACATGATCGTCCTCAGCTGCTCTGGCCTTGTGAGGCTGAGCAAAACAGAGAATGCCTGTCTCTCCCAGAGTAACCAACTGTGCAAACTGCATCAACTCCTGTGGAGAGGTGATGCCCTCGTCACACTGGGCTCCACTCTAAGTAGACACGTTAATGGGCATCAGTCTGTCGCCCTGCTGAAGACACGGCTCTGTCCTTCTGGGCTCTGTGCTGCATCATGTGGGAGATGCTCAGGCACCAAATCGGAGAAGGATCTGACGGGATTAACAGATTACTAAACCAAAGTGCAGGGGCTTGAACAGGCAGAAAGAATGCAGTGTGTCACTCTGCATATTAGCCTGAGAGTGGTCACCATGGCCGTCCTCATGGGGCAGCGGCCTAAGGGAAGCACGTTCTTGCCTACCTGGAGTTGAGTCATCCTGGGAGGTGCGGCCAGAAGGGCTGGATCCCAGGTCGAGTAACTTCCATGTGTCCTGGAGGGAACTGCTGGCAAGTGGTGAGGATCTTTGGGTGTGGTGGCCGTTTTCCTCGTGGAATTCTTGAGCCGGGAGTGACTTTGGGGACTGGTTTTCTTCCTGACAAGTTGACTTGCAAGTCACAGTGGAGCTTTTGTGTTGCCTCTATAAAAGTGAGAAAAGACAGGATTATCCTTGAAAGCCACCCTCTCTCTAACCCGAGGAAACAACAGGGCTCCCTCTTCCCTTTCGGGTAAGTGACAAGACAGAGGGCATGGCTCAAAGACAGCCTTTTGTAGTGGGACTTCAAGGACCATCAGAGAGAGGCCACTGGAGATAGGCCCGAGCTCTCCGGCCATACTGCACTCCAGTTCCTGCGGTGGTTCCCCCACTGAGAAGTGGCAGAAAGACTCCAGCACTGACGGGTCCTGCTGTACCTGCCTCGGCCCCACCGCCGCTCCCGCCGTAGAGCCGTGCGGAGTCTCGTTTCTGCAGACTGTCTGTGCCGAGCAGGGTTGGATCTTTCCTGAGCATTCGGAGAAACATTCTTTCTCGGCATTCTGAGAGTCCTGTTGTAGAAATTTAAATAAAAGAAATTCAGTGTTCGTAGGTCATTGATTGGGTATGTTACTGAGTTTTCCCTCAAGATTAGGAAGAAACGCTTTCCCCAAATTGCTGGTATTAGGGACTTAACTCCGAGACAAGCCAAAAGGGAGGGACATGCTCTGTCCACTAGCCAGGATGAACTTAGGCCTCGTGATGTCAAGCTAAGAACCTCTCCCATCCTCCGGGAGGCCAAGCACCTGAACATCACACACACCCTCTCTGCAGCATCGGGGGAGGAAGCCCTGGGCCCAAGTTGGGCACACGAGTGGCCCCCAAGCCTCTTGGTTTGGTGGGGCATCTTCAGTGTATAACTGAGGCCACTCTGACCCCCTGCAGCTGGAACACTCATTACATCCTCCCTCTTTGGGGAAACCTGCCAAAAAGCGTTCAGATAGGACCGTTAAGGAGAGTCACCTAAGGGGTAGTAGAAGGAAACATGGAAGAAAACAGAATTACAAGCCCCGGACTTGAGCAGAGCCGTGAGCAGTGGGTCACCCCAGGGAGGGCCTGGGGACCAGCCAGACCTACTAGGCCTCTTCCTGGTGCGCCAGAGGGCATGCTCAAACCTGCTGCTGCACAACTTTTCTCTGCTCAAGTTTAGTTTTTGAATTTTCAACCAACTGATGCATGCATATCTTTCAGTTTTAACTTTCAGCCCACAGGTAGCAGTGATGATGAGTGGCTTTTCCTGTTTCTTGATCGACTCACTGAGTTTCTTCCTCTATGGTTTCTGATCATATCCTTTGCTTATTTTTCTATGGGTTACCTGTCTTTTTCTTATTGATCTATAGGAGTTCTTTTCTGTATGTTCCTCCTATTTCTTATATGACACCATTTACTATTTGAAATAAAGAGGAACCAAAAAGGGGACCCCGTGGAGTCTTCATGTCTCGAGTGTTAAGAAAAGTTATTTCACAGGATGTAATGAATACATGCTGGTTTCGTAGTTTGCAAGAGATTAACAAAGCTTAATAAAATATTTAATATACTAGAAAGAAGTGGAGGTCTAAATAACTATTATTTTACCATATTGTTTGCATGTTTTACCATAATAGGTAACGGGCACACTTATTTGATGATTTGGGAGAGGTTTCTTCTAACAACATATATTTAGAAGTTTAAGCAATTAATAGATGATTTGCAAGTTATGAACAGTTAGTTCAATGCTTTAACAGCATTTCCCACAAGTGGGGAGGGGGAAGAACTCTGAGTGTGTGTGTGTGTGTGTGTGCACGCGTGTGCGTGTACGCACACACACCTGCACATGTGGCAGGAGTTGGTGGGGGAAAGGAGAGGCAGGGCGCTGCTATCCAGGAAGCCTCTTGAGTTCCAGCAGGCCCACCCAGTGCCCAGGGCTCCTCGGCCTCAACGTTCTTGCATTTCTTCTTTCTGGGCTGTTTCCTTCTCCCCAGATAACTCCTCCACAGGCTCCTTTCAGGGGAGAGCGGGGTCTGTTGGTGGAAAACACTGCATCCCCAGGCCCCTTTCTTCAGCCAGCCCTTCTCAGTTTCTTTCTCTCCTCATCTGGCAGACCCACCTCCATAGGCCTCTCTCTCCCCAAGACCTGTTCCTGGGTGACCTCGTGCTGTCCCAGGCTCAGATCCCCGCCTGTTGCTGAGGACTTTGTGTTTGTGTCCCATCGGACTTCTCACTCAAACTCCACATCTAGATGTGCAACCTCAGACTGGACGTCCACATGGCAATGGAGAACGGGCATCTCGAATCTAACCCCAGACCTGCTCCTCCCACAGTCTCCTCCCCCATCATGCTGCCCAGGCCTCAAACCTTGATTCCTTTCTTTCTCTCTCATTCCAAATCCAACATGATAGGGAGGCCCGGCTTCAAGTGTCTCCAGATCTGCCACTTCTCCTCACCAGCCACCCTATCCCCCATCCTGATCCAGCCCCCACCCCAGCCCCACTCCTCCTCCCCAGCCCCTCCTCCCACCTCGCCCAGCTGCACCTCTCATGCAGGTCAGAGCTTGTCACTGCTCAGCCCGGAACCCTAACACTCCCACCTCACCAAGAGCAAACTCAGAACTCATGTCACCTGATGGCAGAACAAGCCGTCCCTCTGCACCTGGCTCTCTCTTATTTTAACTGATTTTAAATAAACTGAAAAGACACACAACACACTGGGAGACTATATCAAGACTTTATAAAACTCCCACATTCTTTAAAGAAGCTGAATCTTAGTTGTTTAGAAACTACACACAGACTCACGTGCATGGCTCCAAGGCACACATTTGGCATGTTTCATCAAATAATCAGGAGTGGAAGTTTCTAGTCATATTGAAACTTTGTGATGAACAGAAAGGTGAGAATATTCCCCAAGGCAAAAACGTGATCCAAGCACAGGGTGGACACAGCTGCCAAACCCTAGCCAAGACCCGAGCAAGCACACCCTCCAGGTAGGAGGACAGTTAATGTCCAACCAGCCAGGAAATGTATCTCCACATGCGGTCATCTGGGTAGAGTCAGAAGCAGGACTAGACAGAATTCAACACCTATTCTGGGTAAAAACTCAGTCAAGTAGGAGGAGAAAGAATTTCTTTTAACTGATGAAGGGTCTGTGTTGGTTCAGACCCACGTGAAATTGCTGACATTTAACCTACAAAACTGGCAATTTTGTATGGTTCAACATAATACCAAAACCTACAGCTAACATTCTGCTTGAAGATAAAGCGCAAAAAGCATTCTTTCTAAACCAAGCCAAAGGTGTGGATGCCAGCCACCCCATTCTTCTCAACGCTAAATGGATCCCTGGCTAGGACAGCAGGATGAGAAGAAATGAAAAGTATAACAATTAAAAAGGAAGGAGCCAGATCCTCACTCCAGACGCTATCTTTGTCAACATATAGAACCGAAGAGAAACTACTGACACACAAATAAAATCATTTTATAAAAGTTGACTATGTTCCTACCCACCTGCAATGGTTAGAAAACGTAAGTTTAAAGAGATATTTAAGATAAATAAATTGGTATAGCCATCAAGTAGAACACTATTCAGCAATAAAAAGAAAAGAGCTATCAAGCCATGAAAAGACATGGAAGAACCTTAAATGCATATTACTAAGTTAAAGAAGCCAATCTGAGAATGCTACATACTGTGGGATTCCAACTCTATGACATTCTGGAAAAGGCAAAACTATGCAGAGAGAAAAAGATCAGTGGTTGCCAAGGGTTAAGGGGATGGGATGAACAGGCAGAGCACAGAGGATGTGAGGGCAGTGAAAGTACTCTGCATGATGCTATAATGATGAATACGTGTCATTATACATTAGTCCAAAGCCACAGAATGGACACCACCAAGATGAACCCTAATGTACACTATGGACTTGGGATGATAACGACCTGTCAATGTGGGTTCATCAGTTGTAACAAATGCACCACTCTGGTGGGATACTAATAACGGGGGAGGCTGTGCATGTGTGGGGGCAGGGTGTATGTGGGAAATTTCTGTACTTTCTGCTCAATTTTTCTGCGAACTTAGAACTGCCCTGAAAAATAAAGTCTATTTGTTATAAGAATTAAAAAAATAGCAACAGGGTCGGCCCCGTGGCTTAGCGGTTAAGTGCGTGCGCTCCACTACTGGCGGCCTGGGTTCGGATCCCCGGCACGCACCGCCGCACCGCTTCTCCGGCAGCGTCCCACATACAGCAACTAGAAGGATGTGCAGCTATGACATACAACTATCTACTGGGGCTTTGGGGGAAAAATAAATAAGTAAAAAATTATAAAAAAAAAAAAAAGTTAAAAAATAGCAACAAAAACAGGTGAATATATTTTGTTGAGCTTCAAAACACCTATATGTGACAAAATATAAAGGATCTCCGCGCATTGTCTGCGGTGTAAACTGGTACAATAACTTTAGACTGTCATTTGACAATATCTAAGAAAGATAAAATGTACACACCCTAGAACTCAGTGATTCTGAACCATAGGTACATACCCTAGAAATGCTTTGCTCATTTATAACCATGTTCATAGCAAAAAATTGGTAACCAATCTAAATGCCCACTGACAGAAGAGTGGATAGATAATGTTGGTATATTCATACAGTAGAAAGAAAATACACAAACAAGTATCTAGCCCTGGGGTTGGCAAACCACAACTTGCAGGGCAAACCCCCCCCACCATGTTTATTTGTATAGCCCATGAGCTATAAATAGTTTTTACATTCTTAAATAGTTAAAAAAAATCAAAAGAAGAATATTTCATGACATGAAAATTATATGAAATTAAAATTTCAAGATCCGTAAAGTTTTACTGGAGCATATCCACGCCCATTTGTTTACATATCACCTGTGGCTGTGGTCAGGCTGGAGGCAGAGTTGAGAAGTTAAAACAGAAACTGTATGGCCCTTAAAGGTGAGACTATTTCCTATCTGGCCCTTGACAGAGAAAGTTTACCAATCCCTGAACCAGAGCTACATGTATCAACACGGATAGATCTCAGAAACATAAGGTCGAATAAAAGCACGTGTGCAGAAAGATATATACACAGCTGGATGTGATTAATATAGATTTCCTAATATCCACTGAGACAGTGAGAAGCATCAGACTCAGGAAAGTCTGAGGATGGTTGAGGGGGACTTTTGGGGTGGAACTCAAAGGGGTTTTGACTTCATAACATTTTGTTTATTAAGTTGGATGGTGTACACACAGGAGCTCAGTCTATTAATCTTTCTTTGTATCTTCTCAGGAGTCTAAAAATACTTAATAAAAATACATAAATAACAATATCCACCCAGTAAAAATTAAATAGGAAAGAACAGCCAAGAAAATTTTGTGAAGGAACAGAAACAAGGGTGAGCTTGCTACAGAGATTTGTAATATATTAAACATATCACAAAGCTACGGTATTGAAGGCAGGACAGCACAGGCTCAGGAATAGACGAGTCACCGGAACTGTGCAGAAAATAAATGCAGAACCTGAATCCAACAGTGTTGCAGTGTCAGCCCCATAGTCTATGAAACACTGGCCTGACTTTTCAAAAATGTTCATGCTGTGAAAGGCGAAGAAGGGCTGAGGACCTGTTCCAGGTTTAGAGAGATGTGCGCACGCACACTCACTCACACACATACACACGCAAGCGCTGGATGTAGTGCGGGTCCTGGACTGGCTGCTCAGCAGAGGATGACAGCTACAAAGAGGTGACTGGCAAAATCTGAATATAAAATATGTTAAATTCTAGGACTGTATTAATGCTATGTTTTGTGATTTTTGATAATTTCTGTGGCTACATGTGATGGGGTTGTCCTTGTTTTCAGATATAAAAGGGCTTGATGTCTGTACCTTATTCTCAACTGGTCCAAGAAAAAAGCTAGATATCTGGCTATCTATCTATCTATCTATCTGCCTGCCTGCCTACCTACCTACCTTAAACATAAAATAGCCAGTTATATTACCAGCAAAATGGGTTCTTTATTCAGGAATGGCAGAGGAATTGCAATTTAGGACATGCAAGCTATGGTGAAACACAGGCAAGTCCGCAGAGATAAAGGGAAGGTCAGGTTTTAGGAGGAAATTGGGGACGGTTGTTTCAAACAAAAGCTCAACGGAGAAGAACAAGAGTCGAGGTTGTAGTGGTTTCTCACTGGCTACAAGCAGTGGTTGGTGCGCTGTTGCTGGGGCAGGGAGGGATCTTCCTTCTTTTGCTTACAAGCAGGAGATGAAACTCCCATGTGATTATGTCCTTCCTTGTCAAAATAATTCTTGTCTTCCTTCTTCCTGCTGGTTATGTGGCTTATGCAGCGGCACCAAGTGGTACCTGTGTGAGAGCTCCCCTTCAGGGCTTCCTGAGTCCATTTTAAATGAGGTTTCCTTTATTTATTTTCACTTAGCTATCTGTCTGTCTATCTATCTATCTAACTATCTATCATCTCTCTCTATCTATCTAAAATGTGTGGAGGCAGAGGGAGGAAAAAGAAAGAATGATAAACCAAATGTAGCAATAACAACTGGTGAATGTAGGTGAAGGGTATATGTGCTGTTCTTGCAACTTTGTGCAAATTTGAAATTATTTCAAAATAAAAAATTAATTAAAAAAACAAATATAAGCAAGAGTACACATTTTCAGCACATGATAAAAATGTCAATTCAAAATCAGTGAGAAAAACGGAGGACAAGGACTTATCGGGTACTAGGACAACTAGTAAAATAGAACGACTGGAAGAAATGGGTGAATATTTACCTAAACTCAGAATAGAGAAAAACCCTCCAAGACAAAAAACAGTGAAACAAACCATTAAAGTAGACTGACAGTTCATTAGATTAAAAAAAGTTACCTGTGGATTAAGACAAAATTAAAAGACAAATGACAAGTTTGAGAAAGATTTGTAACAGACAAGCAGCAATTTCCTTGATATATAAAGAACTCTTACAAACTAACAAGAAAAGAACAAATACACCAGTAGGAAAAATAGCAGACAATATGCATAAATAACCCGCAAAAGAAGAAATATAAATGGCCAATAAATAGATTAAAAACTTTAATATCACTAAGGATAGAAGAAATTTTTCAAAGATGCAATTTTTTTTAACCTAGTATATTGGTAAAGATTTAAACAATAACACCTAGGTGGTAAAGCTATAGTAAAACCTATGTATGCTACAACTTGTAGTTTTAAAAAATAGTAGAAAACACACTGAAATGTTACTGGTAACTATGTTTGGGTGCTGAAAATTGGAGGCTTTTTAAGTTGTGTTTACCATATTCTGAAGTTTCTGTAAAGAACTCAATACTTAAGCAATTAGTAAAAAGCTACTAAAAATACATTTCTGAGATGAGGGAGTGTTACCTGAGCTGGCGGGTGTGGCTGCAGCTGTCCCAAAGGTGCCTCAGGTGCCTCACCTGCGTTCTGGGCCCCAGGGCTGGGAAGAGAGTAACCAGATGGTTTCGCTAGAAACAAGACAAGGGAAAGGTTTGTTCTCTATGTGCACATCACTTGAGTTTCTCTCGTGCTGAATACAAACACTTGAGAAGAACAGCATGTTCTCTTCAAAACCAAAGTCACTTCTCTTTCAGAGAACTTGTGGGGGTGGACACTTGTGAACTGTGTGACACACACCAGCATTTTAGCAGGCCAGTAGAGCTCATGAACACACACAGACAACTTTCTACAGCTATACGCATCCCTTTCACGGCTTCTCAAAGTGGCAGAAACGAACACCTTCATTAACAGACCCAAAGATATACCCTGTCTGAAGCATAGAAAAAGAAGAAGCAAAAGTTTAAGTATATACACTTAAAGATTATGCTTGTAATCAATGCTTCAGCATTCTGTCTTACTTAGAAATAATCTAGGCATCCAATGAATATCCATTCATTAACTCAACTTGTGTTAAGTTACCTAAAAATCTTAGAAATTTATCTTGACGCTGACGTACTATAAGACAAAATTACTGTCGAAATAACATTTCTCCGAATAACAATCAATTTGGTTAAACACAAGCTTACTGAGGACTCCAACGAGTTTTGTGAGTTATAACTATTGATATTTACCGTCCTGGAAACTGAAACAGAGAAATTTTTTTAAAGCTGATTTATCCATTCATCTGAAGATAGGGACGATAAACATATTGCATGTTATTGACATCTGAGTGGTCATGAAATCAGTTCTGCCACCAGGGACCTCCTGAGATGGGTCCTAAAGTAATGTATCAGTTTTTCCAGGCAATAAAAGGACATATGAAGGACAAAAATTGGAAATGAAATTATTTTCCTTAGTTTATGATACCTGAGTTTAAAAGCTATGAAATCAGAAGACACACAAGTGGCCAACAAGCCCATGAAAAGATGCTCAACATCATTAGTCACCAGGGAAATGCCAAATCAAAATCACAGTGAGATACCACCTTGTACCCACTAGGATGGTTAAAATCAAAAAGACGGAAAATAAGTGTGGGCGAAGATGTGGCGAACTCAGAATCCTCATCCATTGCTGATAGGAAAGTAAAATGGTGCAGCTGCTGTGGAAAAGAGTTTGGTGGCTCATTAGTAAGTTAAACATAGAATTAATACATCATCTTGCAATTCCATTTCTAGGAACATATCCAAAAGAATTGAAAACAGGTTCAAACAAAAACTTGTATGTGAATGTTCACAGCAGCATTATTCACAATAGCCAAAAGACAGATAAAAACCATGTCCATTACTGACGAATGAGTGTGGTCCATCAATACAATGGAATATTATTTGGCCATTAAAAGGAATGAAGCACTGACACATGCCACCACATGAACGAACTTCAAAAACATGCTCAGTGAAAGAAGCCAGACACAAAAAGTCACATAGCATAGGATTCCATTTGTGTCTGTCTTGAAATGAAATGTCCAGAAGAGGCAAACCTATAGAGACAGAAAACAGGTTGGTGGTTCACAGGGGGAGGGGTAACACGGAATGACTGCTGAGTATAGGATTTCCTTTGCAGTGATGAAAAAGTTCCAGAACAGATGGTGGCAATAGTTGCATAACACTGTGAATGTAATTAATGACACCGAACTCTATACTTTATAATGGTTTAAATGGTAAAGTTTACGTTATATGTATTTTATCAAAGTTAAGAAAAATGCTAGTTTAAAAAAAAGCTATGAAACGTGTTAAATCTTAGCAAAGTTTGCTCAGTTTGATGGGCTTGTTTCCTCAGCTTACTATTGATTGCCTTCACCTAAAACAAGATTTATTCTGTGTAATCTGCCCAGATAGCAGAGATTCTATGTCTTCCCAGAATAGTTTTCTTTGCTTTATGTTGCCTTTATTATGTTTGATTATTTAACAAAACAAAGCTTCCACACTTCTGAGAGCGCTAAGGTTCTTTACAACTACGTTGCCTTCTGTGGGTTTTCTTTAAATGTTTGTCACTTTCTGTGAGTAGACACATATTGTTTCTCAGGCATCCATGATCCTATCTCAGTGTTCAAATCTCCTGACAGCTTTTGATTTTTTTCCTTCTCAAAACTGAAAATCCTAAATGTAAAATAAGATAAAACTTTCAGGGCACCCTTTGCACCTAACTATCTTTGAGACTCCCCAGAGGGCCCCTGGAAAATCACAAAGATTTGTTCTTATAAAAAGAGGGGTGTTAGAAATAATCAGGTTTATTTGGTGTGTTACTATTGATGAGTTTCAGGAGAAGTGCCAACTCAGAAGAGATGCTCAGCTCACCCTGGCTACATTGGTTGGTAAAACGTTGTTAGTATAAAGTATTTGAGGGCTTTCCTAGAGATCTGTTAGGGCAGTGGCCGCCCACGATGTTTCTCTTCATCAGAGTCCTGAAGGGCTTATGTGAAGTTACTGGACAACAATGGTATAGAGCTCAAGTCACAAATGCAGTCACTGTTTTAAGTGTTAACTTGGGCACTACTTTCCTTCTTTTCTTTTGTGGGGGATCAGAATTGGCCACCCCAAAAAGTGTCTCTTTGGCTTGATTATTTTTAAGAACAAAAGACTCCCGGGCCAGCCCCGTGGCTTAGCGGTTAAGTGCGCATGCTCCACTGCTGGCGGCCCGGGTTCGGATCCCGGGCGTGCACCGACGCACCGCTTGTCTGGCCATGCTGAGGCCATGTCCCACATACAGCAACTAGAAGGATGTGCAGCTATGACATACAACTATCTACTGGGGCTTTGGGGGAAAAATAAATAAATAAAATTTAAAAAAAAAAAAGACTCTGAAAGAAACTTTGACCTTCCCCCAACTGCCTAAAAGAATTTAACATAGAAGGCTTGTTCCAGGAAGGAGCTAATATCTAAGATAGCTATAGTATACTGTAAAATAGGTGTGATAAAAAGGCACCAACAAGCCCAGTTTTGGCCCAGCAAAACTTGTTGAACAAACATTTGCATTTCCATCTCCATGTGCATTGTCCTCCACCTCGCTGAAATCTCAAACCACTACCCCCAACATCCTCCTTTGTCTTTAGCTGAAAATTATATTTAAGCTGGCAGCTCGGCCATTTTGGTGAGTTACTCAGATTTCCTGGGTCTCTCCCATGTACACATGTTAGAAAGCTTTGTTTGATTTTCTCCTGTTATTCTGTCTCCTGTCAATCCAATTTGTAGCCCAGCCAGAAGGACCTAGAGTGGGTAGAGGAATTTTCTTCCTCCCCTACAGTCTGGCGACTTGGACAGGATAAAACTTCACTGGCTGGATGCTGCTTGCTCATGGACGACTGCAGCCATGAGATCCTGGGCCCCTGACAAGAGCCAACAGGAGGTAAGAGTTCTTACCGTGTTGGTCTCCCGGATCTTTGCCTGCAGGGTCCAATGGAAGTGAGAGTGGTGAGTTTTTTTCCTTTTCTAAATTTAGATTAGCAGGAGAAACTACTGTGATGCTAGCTTCTTAGACTCAGCGACTCTATGATTTTGTTGCGTACTCACTGGTTATTGATCCTTTTCCTCCCAGAGATAGCCACTATTTTTCATTGTCTCTTTTTCGTTGTTTGTCATAAGACACAGCCATCTCTGTAAGCCTGTTGTCTGGGAATATGCACATGAGGTGAAAGCTGTTGCTAAGGGCATCTTGTAAGCCAAAAAGGCTGCAAATATAGTGGGCACGGGTCAAGCAGTTAAGAGTCATTAGGGTGCTCACCACCTCAAGAAGTCTCCCATGGAAGGATAAGTCAGGTCACAGGATGGGGTAGATGACACAGGTCTCCCTGCCAACTTCAAGAAAACATCCATGCAACAATGAGGTACTCTGTAAAGCACACACGATCCCCAACCCTGCAGTACCACCCCCCTAGCTATTATTCTGGCTCCAAGAGACCCAAGGCTTAGCTAAAGCTGTTAATGTGCATATTAGATGAGGTTTTTTCTTTTGTCTTGCTCTACGTCCTGAGAGCTTGGCTTTGTGACCTTTCTGGTCTCTGCCATCTGGAGCATGCATGTAGCGGCATGCATCTTGGTGGCCAGTCAAGTAGACTGGGGTTCCAGGGGATACTCTCTTAGTCCAGCTGTGTCAGCTCTCAGGGCGGGTTTGTCATAAGGAGTCGCAATTGCTTTCCTTAGGGGCCTTTGTCATATCAACCTTCGTTGCTTGTTATGCAGCAATGGCCTTTGCTTTCTTACACTATTTTTGGGAGTGAACTTTCTGGATCTCTTTTGGGGATGCCTCTTGTGTCCATAGTTAAGCTTATTGGTATGAGTCACTGTTAAGATTCTACTTGTCAATGTGGCAAGACGATGGTGGATCAATTAAATTGGAAAAACTTCTAAGTTGGGAGAAAAATTGTTTTTTGAGAGCTCTCATCATATTTGTTTTATTGGTACCTATAAAAACGCCAAATTAAAAAAAGAAGTACAAAAAAAATAATGACTAGCCTTAAGACCCTAACTCAGGTTACAATTAACAAAATGTAAAAGTGAGTGACGTCAGCATCATGGCGGAATGAGCTTCCCCCATTGAACTCTCCCCCTCTAAGACACAACAAAAAGGACATTCATATTCCAACAGAAGCTACTCACACCACACAGGGGACGTCTGAGACATCCAGGCAGCCGTACACCCGAGGACGGAGGTGCTGGAATCCCCAGAGTAAGTGGAAGGAGGTAAGAGGAGCTCCCTTCTTTCCCCAAGGACTGTGACCCAGAGACTGAGACCACGCGGCTCTCAGAGGGGTGGAGAGGGGCGGCTCACCGCGTGAAAACCAGCGCTCTCTAAGACCCCTCACAGCCCATAGGGATCCCCCTACGGAAGGAGCAGAACTGTTGCAAGGGTACTTTCAACAAGCTAGCCCCTCAGGAGAGCAGAGAGCCACAGTGAAGTGAGAAACCTCTGAGATCAGGGAGGCAAAAGTAAGTGCCCCTTCCCCACCCAGCCCGCCCAACCACTGCGTCAGCACAGTGGTGCTTCAGCTCAGCCCCGTCCCCAGAGGCAGCGGCTCCAAGGCGCCCGGGCCCCACCAGGAGGGGTAGTGTGACCACACCCTGCCCCCACAGGCAGCGGCCCCCACGTGCCAGGGCCCCAGCAGCAGCAGGGTAAGCCTGTGTCCCTGCACCAGAGGCAGCGACAGTTCAGGCTGCACTGCATCACAGCCCCAGCTGCTCTGGCTGGACTAAGCCACGGCCCCAGCTGCCCTGGCTCCACTGTGCCATGGCCCCAGCTCCTTTGGCTTGACCACCCATCCCCCGGCTCCGGCTGCTTTGGCTTGGCCTGTGCTCAGGCTCCAGCTGACTTGGCGCCAGCAACTTTGGCCCACCACACTCCAGTTCCAGCTTGTTCAGCCCAGTGGCACTCCAGCTCCAGCTTCTTTGGCCCAGCAGCGCTCCAGATCCTCCTTCTTCAGCCCAGCACACTCCAGTTCCAGCTTCTTTGGCCCAGCGGCACTTCAGCTGCAGCTGCTTCAACCCACCCGCACCGGAGCCCCAGCTGCTTTGGTCCGGCTGCACTCCAGTCCCAGGTGTTCCCACGCTCCAGCTCCAGCTGTTCCCATGCTTCACTCCCAGCAGCCTCTGCTCAGCCACACTACAGGTCAGCCAGGGGCCAACGAGAGTGCCCGTGGATTGAGGCAGGCCAGAATACACTGCTCTTGACCCCCACCCAGCGGCAGCAAGAGGAAACTGCAACCATATATTTTCACTATGAGGAAAAGTAAGCCAACACTGACAGGCACTATGCAAAAATATATTAAATCTCCAGACCAAAAGGAAAATGACAAGCACCCAGAAGTCAAACTGGAAAGCACAGAAATGTGTAACCTTAGTGACAGAGAATTCAAAATAGCCATTATAAAAAAGCTTAGTGAAATACAAGAAAACACAGACAATTCAACAAAATCAGCATTTTCTTCACAAAAGAAATTGAAACTATAAAAAAAACCAATCAGAAATCTTAGAGATGAAAAACACAATAAAGGAAATAAAGACAAACCTGGAAGCCTTAAGCATCAGAGCTGACAATATGGAGGAAACAATTAGCAATATTGAGGACAGCAATGCAGAAATGCTCCAGATGGAAGAGGAGAGAGAACTAGGACTAAAAACAAATGAAGAAACTCTCCAAGAAATATCCGACTCAATTAGGAAATCCAACATAAGGATTATAGGTACTCGAGAGGGAGAAGAGAGGGAAAAAGAAGCAGAGAACTTGTTCAAAGAAACAATAGCTGAGAACTTCCCAAACCTGGGGAAGGAGCTGGAAATACCAGTGAATGAAATAAACAGATCTCCTAAATACATCAACATGAAAAGACCCTCTCCAAGGCATATAGTAGTAAAGCTGGCAAAAGTCAACAACAAAGAAAAAATATTAAGGGCAGCTAGACAGAAAAACAAATAAATAACATACAAAGGATTTCCTATCAGGCTCTCAGTTGATTTCTCGACAGAAACTTTACAGGCTAGGAGAGAGTGGAACAATATATTCAGAATTCTGAAGGACAAAAACGTTCAGCCACAAATACTCTACACAGCGAAAATATCCTTCAGATATGACGGAGAAATAATAACTATCCCAGATAAACAAAAGTTAAAGGAGTTCATTGCCACAAGACCCCCACTACAAGAAGTGCTCAAGAAGGCCCTCATCCCTGAGAAAGAAAAGAGAAAGGGGATTCAAAGTTTTGAACAAGGAGGAAAACAGGTCAACAAAACCAGAAAAATTGCAGTCCTCTATCAAAATAGATTAGCAAGAAAATGTAAAAGTATAAGTGTTGATAAGATTATAAAGGTTAGAATGTTTGAACTAATTTTATATAAAGAAGTTATATCAACTTTGCCTGAGCATGTTTTAAAATGTCTGACTGGGAATGCTTCCCCCATCCAAAATTATAAGACCAAGACCTATTGATACAGTCCTAATGAAAGCTATGATTTGAGATATGAGAGTTGATGGAATTCAAATAAAATTTTGTACAAAAATTGATATATTTATGGGCTTTATGTTAAGTGATTGTATCTCTTTTTGCCTGATTGTATCGTAGATTGTATTGTAGGGATAAACACTGACTCATTGGGGAACGTTTCCCCTGCCTGACTGTAAGATAGCATATAAATCTGCCCTTCAGACAGTGTTAATTAAACTTACAAAAGGGAAGTCAATAGGGTTGTCTGAGCCCACACAGTATGAGACAAAAACTAGAGACTGATATCAGCTGCTAATAAAAAAAAATAAAAGCTTCCCCCACCCCCAAGGTAAATTGGTCTAGGGTTAAATTGTACACTTAGAAAGAGGACCTTTGTTAAATGCTTTGTAAAGACTTTTAAAGGTACGATACATTGTCCTGAATATTTTAGAACATAAATGTCTTTTGATTCACCTAAGTTAAAAATTTCCCTGATATAAAGACATTAAAAACTCATAAAGCAAATATGCCCCAGAAACTCCACCTTGAAGAAAACTTGACTGCTTTCTCTGTATCTTTATGATGTATATTTTCTGCTCCCATCTTCTCTAGGACCTGAGAGCCATTCTTTGAAATGCAAATGTTTCTCAGAAACTAGTGAGTTTTGTATCACATCTGATTCATGACAAAAATTTAACGTCTCTGTCAGTGTCTACCTATGTGTTTATGTGTGTCTGTATATATGTTATATACATGTGATATTTTACCGCCAGAGGGTATGGCCAAAATTAAGAGCTCTGTTTAATTGACTTAAAGTAAGCGCTTACATGTCTTTCAAGTTAACGTGATATGAAATAATCTTTGCTGAATGAAAGCTTGCTTAAGTTTATTGGTTTGATTAAAATAGACATGTCCTCAGAGTTATCAGCACTGGATATGATGTAGACATGCAGCCTGGGTTTACTAGTTTAAAAGCTCATGCTATCCCTGTTACAAATTTGTCAGCATAATGACTTAGAATGATAGCTAATTCTGTCTAACGTCTCAAGAAATTTCTGTGGGTAATCTAAACATAACTGTTGGAACAAATGATTTAGATGTAAATGAGGTAAGAGTTTAAACTTTTAGCAATAATTATATTTTATGACATGTATTTAATAACGTCCAAAATCTCTTTAGTAACTTGGAACTTTGAGGTTTTGCTCAATTAAATGATGGAAAATTCATTGAATATCTACATTATTTCTAAATAAGATATTAGACGTTAATTACTAAATATAAATTCATCTACTTTGGCTTCTTATTACAGAAAAACTAAAAGGTATTTTGGGTCTATTGGTAAACATGTCTTGTGTTTTATTGAAAGACTGTACTATAAAGTAATGTGTTCCTAGGAATTACAAAAAGTATTTATAAATTTTCCAAGCCACAGAATGCTAATGTAAAAGACAGTTCATAATTGCTTGCTTA